ATCATTAGTCATCAGGGACATGGCACTTAAAACTGCAGGGAAATACTTCATACACACTAGAATGGCTAAAATCAAAGACTGATGTTTCAGTTATCTATTGCTCCATAACTTATCACCCCAAAACTTAGTAACTTAAACAGTGACAATCATTTTATTATTTCTCACAGTTTCTTTGAGTCAGGGATTCAGGAAGGGCTTGGCTTGGTGAGGCTGGCTTGGGAGTCTCTCCTGCTGTTATAGTCGGACTATGGCTGGAGGTGGAAAAGTGGGGGCTGGAGCAGCTGGGGCATCTCTCTCTCTCTCCTTTTACATAGTCTGGGGGTCTCTCTATGTGGTCTAGCTTGGGCTTCCTCACAGCATGGTGGCCTCAGCGTACCCAGACATCAGATGTCTTAGCAGGAGGCTCAGGTCTCCAGGAGCAAGTCTTCGGCTAACAAGGTGGATGTGCCGTACCTTTTATGACCTGGCCTAAGAAGTCACACGGTGTCACTTTCACCATATTCTACTGGCTACATGTGGCTCCACCAAGCCAACCCGATTGAAAGGGAGTGGAATTAGACTGTGTCTCTTGATGTGGGAGTGGCAAGATTCTAGAAGAGCCTGGGGAATAAGAGTTACTACTGCAGCCATTTTGGGAAAATACAATCTGTGGCGGATTAACCTGGAAAGAAAAGCTGACAGATCATACCAGGCCTTATAAGCCACACTAAATTTCAGTCGTGTGATGGCCCACTCCCCACCACACCCCTGGAGGGTTTTAAGCAAGAGAGTGAAATTGTTCATCATCTTAAAAAGTTCTGGGCTTCCCTGGTGGTGCAGTGGTTAAGAATCCACCTGCCAATGCCGGGGACACGGGTTCGAGCCCTGGTCTGGGAAGATCCCACATGCCGCTGAGCAACAAAGCCTGTGAGCCACAACTACTAAGCCTGTGCTCTAGAGCCCGCGAGCCACAACTACTGAAGTCCACGCGCCCTAGAGCCCGTGCTCCGCAACAAGAGAAGACACCGCAATGAGAAGCCCGTGCACCGCAACAAAGAGTAGCCCCCGCTCGTCGCAACTAGAGAAAGCCCGCATGCAGCAACAAAGACCCAATGCAGCCAAAAATAAATAAATAAAATTATTAAAAAAGAAAAGTTCCTCCTAGCAGCTATGTGGATTTGGAAGCAGAGACCATTTAGGAAGGGGGTGCAGAAGTTCACGTCCCAGACACGGTGGTCAGCCCCAGCCTAGGTGAGGGTACAGGGACAGAGTGGGGGTAAGGAAGACTGCCAGGGCTCTGGACTGACCAGCTGTTTTTGTTCACAGAGATGAAGAATGATGGAGAAATGACTTTGGACACAGTGGGCTTAAAAGGCCAGGATAGACATATGAGATTGGAACTCAGGAGATAAAAATTTAGGAGAGAACACACAGCATTTAAAAGGGCACAGGGGGCTTCCCTGGTGGTCCAGTGGTAAAGAATCCACCTTACAATTCAGGTGACGCGGGTTCGATCCCTGGTCAGGGAACTAAGATCCCACATGCCACGGGGATGCGACTAAGCCCACGGGCCGCAACTATTGAGCTCGCGTGCCTCAACTAGAGAGCCCACGTGCTGCAAACTACAGGGCCCACACGCTCTGGAACCCGCGCGCTACAACTAGAGAGAAGCCCTCGTGCAGCAATGAAGAGCCCTAATGCCTCAACGAAGCCCCTGCTTGCCACAACTAAGATGAGAGGCAGCCTAAATAAATAAACATAGATAGATAGATAAATGCTTTAAAAATAAATAAAAAATAAAAGGGCACAGGAGTGGAAAATGAGTGTCAACCCAAGCATTCACAATCTCGGTACCCACTTTTCCTCTTGTCACCGCCGACCAAGCAAGCGCGCAGGATGAAATGCGCATGCGCACATCTCCTCCGCCAGCGGCTCCTGGGCAGCAGCCTGCGGACTGCGCACGCGCGCGGTGTGCGGCGGTCGCCGTGGAGACGCGTGGCCCTAGCCTGGCCCTCGCCGCCGGAACCTCCGGCTCAGTCGCAGCGGGTCTCTGCTGCCCCAGGCGCGGGGGGCGGCCCCGCGGGTGGATGGACTGCGGCGGTGGGGATGGGGTGTCGGGGGACGGCGAGGAGGAGGAGAGAGAGGGCTGCATGGCGGCCTCGCAGGGGTCCAGACTGCCCCCCATCTCGGGCTGCGCCTCAGAACTGACCAAACGGAAGGTGAAGAAGAAAAAGAAGAAGAGAAAGACCAAGGGGTCTGGGAAGGGGCACGGTAAGAGGAGCAGCTAACGCGTCTGCCTCGCTCCCATACCTGAGATTCTTCTCCGAGGACACCCACCCCACCCCTCAGAGACCCCCACCTACTTGGGGACCTTAAGCCCAGAAACAGAAACTCGCCAGCCCCAATCAGAGGTCCTCCCTCTCTCCGCACGATGATGATCCAGCCCTCCGCACAAAGACCATCCATGTCCGCAGAGACCCCAAATCCTGCGTCGAGAATTCTCAACATCAATGGAGACCTTCAACCCCACACAGAGACACGCCACAGAGCCTCCCAGCCCCACACTGTGACTCCTAGCTTTACACAGAGACTCACTCATCTTCCTCCTCCCTCAGTCCAAGTTTAAAATCCTGAACATCTATTCCTTCCCCACAGAAATCTCAAGCCCTCCTGAAGAGATGCCCCCATCCTCACACAGAGACTGTCCCCATCCACAGCTACTAAGGCACTAGTGACAGATGCTCTCACTCATACACAGAATCACAGGCTCCTGCCTTCCGCCTGGACACCCTCCTTTCACCCTCATTTATTAGGGGCACCTGACTCTGGTTGCCTCTATGTAGACACCCAGGACATGCACATAAAGTGTGCTCCCTGTACAGACCGCCCTTCCTTTCCCCTCATCTACGGAGGCCACCCTTCGACTGCACACAAACACCATCACACCAGTCACTGCTACACACTCTTATAATCCCTGACACCCTCAACAACACCCCCTTCTACCAATATAATCGCCAAATAAAGCTAAAGTACAGATACCCCAGCAGGCACACGCATTCAGTCTGCACGCACAAGCACACGCTCCGCTACATACTCACATGCCTAGACCTCTCCAGTACGCGTATGACCATACACGTGGGGTTCTCACTCCAGGCCCTCCCGTGGACACTTCACAGACGTACACCCACTAACAGCCTCCACAAAAGCACAGAGCCCTCCGTTCTCATAGAACGCCCTGGGAGCTCGACAAAGCCCCTGAGCACCCATTTGTGGAGAGAGTGCAACAGTGACGTAGAGCGCACCTGTCCAGGGGCGCTGTAGGTCTCCACTGTCCTTGTGTGGTTCGCCTTGGTGGCTCCTGTCTGTCAGGGAGGTGGCTCTCGCCGACCCTGGCACAGCTGCCCTGACCTCCAGCACGACTAGTCCTGGGCTCACGTTCCTGGGTGCCGGCCCTCTTTATGCAGAACCAGCTCCCCTGACAAGCTGAAGGCAGAAGGCGCGACGGACAGATCATAATTACCTCTCCAGTTGGGATCATAAGAAAGAGGCAAGAAAGCAATTCTGGAGTTTAGGTCAATAAGCGCCATGTGCATCTGCCAAACCAAATGAGGAAATGTATTATCTTTTTAGCTTAGCTTCTGCCTCTAAAGGTTACAGCGGCATGTACCTCATACTGTCAGCAGGGGACACCAAATAATTTTCAGGGAGTAGGAAGGTATAGGAATGCCAAGAGAGGGTTTTTTTTCTTATTTTCTTCTCTTTTTTTTTTTTTTTTTTTGGTGGGGGGAGGGAGATTCCTCTATCCCAAAGAAATAGGATGAGCTGATTAAAGAATCACAAGTTGTAGTACTGTATATGCATGTTATATAATTCAGAAGGGCTGTTAATATTTTTAAAAATCAGTATAAGCCACACAGAAAAAGTATTTCCTGGCTTGGCAGAATGCTTTCCACAGTCAGATTTAGGAAGCTTTTCTGTTGTTCTTCATTTCTTCCATCATAAAGTGTCTAGAATAGGGGTAAGTCATAGGCTCCCAGAACTGGGCAGTACCTTGGCGAGCACGTGGGTAGGTGAGGTGGGGGGCAGTGTGGAAAGGACAGGGCCCTGGCAATCGGGTGTGTGTTCAAATCCCGGCTCTGCCACCTGCTTTGTGACATCGGCAACCGACTGAAACTTTGGGAGTCTGTTTCCTCACCTGGAAAATAGGGCTGACAGCCTTTACCCAGAGGACCTGGCTCATAGTACATGCTCAATAAATGGCTCCTCCCTCCCCAAAATGACAACCCAAAGCATGTAGGCAGTGGATGTGTACGGGGCTGGTGGGCTTGGCCACCTGAGGCCCCAGGTGAGGAGGGGCCTCCAGGTCCCCCCTCACATCTTTAGTGGTTTGGGCATCACCCCCAAGCAGGCTGAGGGCAGGCATCACAAACGCTAACACCACCCATCTGCTCAGCAGATAAACATCAGAGTCGAGGCCTGAAGACTCAGCGGCTGTCTCCATCCTTCCGTGACATCTTAAGTCCCAGCAAAGATCATGGCCCGGGGCCAGAGCACAGACAGGACAGGGATGAAAGCAAGCTCACCCCCTCTTACTCCTCTGCCATATGTCTCCCCTGCTTTGCCGAAATAGAAGAGACCCTTTCCAACCAGATCAACGAAAGTCTGCGTTGGGATGGCGTTCTCGCCGACCCAGAGGCAGAAAAGGAAAGGATTCGCATTTACAAGCAGAACCGGAGGAAGCGGTACCGGGTTTGGACCCTGAGGGGCTTCCACTCTGGCCCCGGTGACGAGGAGGCCCCAGAGAACCCAGCCTACCTCTCTGACCAGACAGCGGCGGCCAGCAGCCCTCGCTGACAACCGAGAGCCCCAATCACTGCTTTAAAGGAAACCTTATCCCGAAGTAGCAGCTCCACCTGAGTGAAAGCCCACCTGTGACACGGACAAGCTTATCATTTATCCTTACCACACATTTATGTGTTAAAAAAAAAAAAAGAATAAAAATAAAAGGAAATCAGACCTACCTCTGAAGGAAGCATGTGTCTGGTGTGTTGATGAGCTCAACTCACCTTCCACCAAAACGCCGCTCGAGGCCCCGGAAGCCACAGCTCCTTCCTTAAGAGAGTAAGCAAGTTAATGAATAAAATTCTTTTCCGAATATCCTTTTTTTCTCAAATAATCTGGCATGTCTTTGTTATTTAATTTCCCATCACAATTAGATATGTATAATCTCCCCCACCCACAAAAAAAGAGAAAGTGTGTAGATTGTATCAATTCTAAATTTTAAATTAATTTCATGGGTAAAATTCCTCACACAGCATGCTTTCAGAAGCCCAAGGAAAATGCCCCGAATTCCCTAAAGCCTTTTTTTAAAAAAATTAAATATACTCCCTGCCCTATGTGGCCTTCAAAATAAGTGAGTTCCAGAACATCATCTTTGGGAGGTTATTACGGAAAGTCTCAAAAGGAATATTGCTTCTCATATCAATATGGGCCTCCTCTAATCCCCCAAAACAGCATTTCAAGCAAAGTTCTGGAGCATTAAAAGGGCCCTACAACACTACTTGTTCTAAGTTAATATTCTTCCTTTCCACAAATATTGAGTGAGGACCATGTACTGCCTTAGTTTAGCTTCTTCCAGAAGCAAAGACTGCACTGCAAGTAGATTATCTCAATGGAGGGGATGCAGGGAAGGGGAGAGGGCCAACCCAGGGACACTATGAAAACAGCTTCCATACCGGGCAACAGGGCCTCAATCCCACAGGGAAACACTGTCAGGATTATCCCCGCAGAGGGGGAGGGAGCTGGGGTGTTACACTCCCCAGAGGCATTGGCTGATGGGTCCTGGGGGGGTTGGGTTCCTGGCATTTCAAGCCTGCCACACCCGGACCAGAGAGCAACCTCAGCCCCGGTGGGGGGGTGGGGGAGGAAATCGCCCTCAGGCACAAAGCAGCAGCCTGAAAGTTCCAGGAGATAGAGGTGGTCTCTGGGGTAGCATCGGACACCTGTGTCCAGCACAGTGCAGGCCCCGAGGGGGACAGAGTGGACATTTAGGATGAGGTTCCTGCCTTCCAAGGAGGTAAAGAAGTACAGTGTACACAGGAGAAGTTGAAAGCCAACACAAAACATCACAGAATGCCTATTTGAAAGTCAGGCGAAAGTGGTCCTCTTGGTCTCCGCTAGCCCCCAGCTGACAGAGCAGCCCCCTACCCCTTCCTTAAAAGGACAGTGACAGGTTTCACATCGGCCACCACACCCTGGCAAGATATACTGAGGGGCATTCAGAAGAGCCCTCTCCTCCCCTGGAGAGGAGGTTAGCAGCCGGGCCTGGCAGGGGCCCTCCCTGTGCCGAGGCTAGGCCTGTCCCCTGCTGCCAGGTTGGGGCGCACCCATGGAATCAAGCAAAGGGCACTGAGGGCTCAGGCACAGCTCCACGGGGAGGAGGAGATGGGAGATATACTAATACTCAGACCTCACCCAATGATCTGGGTTTAAGGTAAAGATAGCAGAGGGTGGGGCAGTTCAGTTGGCATTTCCTGTGCCCTCTGGCTCTACCATGGTGGCTGGGGGTGCGGTGCACGTATGAGTCTGAGGGCACACCTGCCTCGGAGTACCTTGGTCTCCTGGTATCGTCTTCCATGGGGGGTGGGGATGGGGGTGGCCTGTGGCCGCCTTTCTGCCATGAGATATTCTGGGATAATGGTGAAAATGACGCACTTTGACCTCAGAGCTGCATTTTTCTCTTTCCCACCACGTGCTAGCTGTGTGACCTCAGACAAATTGCTTAACCTCTCTGAGCCTTAGTTACCACATCTGGAAACGGGGATGCAAATACCCATCTCAGTGTTGTGAGAATCAAATGCAGTAATTACATAAAGCATTTAGCATAGCGTCTGGCCCCTAGGAAGCGCTCAATCCATTGTAGGAGCTTTGAGTAATGATGTTTTAGGTGGGGTGGCTACACAGCCACCTCATCAAAGGGTGAGCTTCACAAAGAAACGTGGCTTCAGCGACTGGCTGATAGAATTCAAACAAACCGCAAAACAAATTACAGGGGTCTGGAGCAAGAGGGAATGTAGGAGGAATGAACCGAGGGTCTCAAAGCCCAGTGTTCTGGGGAGGGGGCTTTGAGCCAAACAAGAACACGCCTACTTGTAGCCTGGAACTAAAGGGGAGTCTGTGCTCAAGATATGAACAGAGGAAGCAGGTGGGGATTAACTCTTCCACAAGCACAGAAGTGGCTCCAACTCAAACCACGCTGGGTTAGAAGTTTTAAGTATCTTTCTCATATCCAGCCTGTTTCAGTGAGGACTCTTTACCCAATGAAAACTGGCTTACTGACAAAACGGAGAGACTGATTTATAAGGCCAACAGTCCAGGGTTGGATATGGCTTCAGGCATGGCTGGATCCAGGAGGTCACACTGTGTCATCAAAATTTGTCTCTTTCTCCACATCTCGCCTCTGCCTCCCTGATTAGCTTCACGTTCAGGCAGGTTCTCATAACAGGATTGCAAAAATGGCCACTGACATCCTTATAGTTCATCGAAGAAAAGAGAGTCACCGCTGTATTCATATCAACCCCAGAGAAGATCTCTGGCCTGGCACAGGTCATATGCCCATCGGTGGGCTAATCACAGTGGTCACGGAAAGGGAGTATGTGCTGCAGAGACCTACCGTACGGTGGGGACGTGGCGGAGGGAGCCAACCCCACTGGACACATGTACTGAACAGATCGTCACAGAATCTATATAAAACCTACATAGAATACAGAGTGACTCCCTGAAGAGATGCCAAGTAGATTTGTCCATTACCCTCCAAGTGGAGAAAGATTCATTTTTAAAAGAACTTGAGGAAGGGTCACGGGGGTGGATTGCATAGCGTGAGTTAATCTCAAGGACTCAGATTGACTGCATACTGATCTCCAGAACTACTGACGCTTGCCCAACACTAGGGAATCTATTAACTAAAGATGAACAGTACTGTAACCATGGGTCCCTGAGCTGTTTTGGAGCAGAATGTTATCAGCTGGTCAGCACAGTTTAGTAATAATTGGGTTTATGATTTGCACCTGGTTTTGGTGGCGCCTGGGGGTGGATTTCAACCTTTAAGGCTAGAAGCTAGCCTTAAGGTCAGGTAGCTAGAATGTGCCTACATGACCAGCTCACTCTAAGACACTCCCACCCTAAGTAGCCCCTGGGTCTCCACACTAGTAGTGGTTGGAGACTCGGGAACAAAGCGCTACTGTTTGAGCCTCGTGAATATCCACTGTGGACACTGCAGAAAAATTCCGGGGATGTTACAACTTCGGTGCGGATTGGCGTGGTAGATACGGCAAAAGTGATGGAATCTCTCTTCCGAGATGAGGTTAACAAAAAGGGAATGTGTTTGCAGGAAGGAGGGAAGCATGAACAGGTGGAGCACAGGTGGAAGGAAGGATGAACAGGGCTGTAAAAATAATCTATAGGAAACTGCAGTGGTGGATACATGTCATTACACACTTGTCCAAACCCATAGAAAGTATAACACCAAGACGGACTCCTAAACTATGGACTTTAGTTAATAATAATGTATCAATGTGGGCTCATCAATTATAACAAATGTACCAACTCATGCAAGACGTTAACAATTGGGGAAACTGGCGGGGGTCGGGGGGAGGTTCACGTGGCAAGGAATCCACGCCCCCCACCAACAGCCCACAGCCCCACGCGTGAGCTCGGAAGCAGGTTCTACCCCCGTTAAGCCTTGAGGTGACCACGCCCTGAGTGACACGGTGGATTACAGCCCGTGAGACCGGAAACCAGAGGCATCCAGCTGAGTGACGCCACAGAAACTGCGAGATAATAAAGTTGTTTGAAGCCACTAAATCTGGGGGTGATTTTGTTACGAATACAGTTGGCTTCTTCCCTCACCGTCAGCTGTGCTTCTCAGCAAGCTGCGTCCCCCTCGACCTGAGGGTGGAAAACCCGAAACCCAACCTTCTCCTAAAAGCCATGTATTATTGGGCACCACGGACTCCCACCACTGGTGCTCCGAGGAGGCTTAAGTTTTATACCCAGAAGCAATGCTGTGCCCTGCAGGGTTGAGGGGCGCTGCTGGATGAGTTAAGTGATAGGTAAGACTGAATGGTTTCCACCTGTTACGCTCACACCTGGAGCTGTCGACAGCTATTTATATTTTCATGGTCTGTGTTTTGCATCCTGCCCCGCACCTTGTAATTATAATATCTTAGGTCACTTTCTAGTTTATAGGTTCTTCTATCTCATTTGTCCCTCAGTCAAGATGTCCTCTGAGTGGTGGGAACTGTTATCTCCACGGTACAGTTTAGGCTTAAAGAGAAGAGGTGAATTGCTCAAGTCACACAACTTCTAAGAGATGGGCTCCAAGGTCTCCAATGGTCTTTTAGAAAATGTTTATCAAGTCACTGCTCAGCCTGCAGTTCTCTGTTAATTGATGCCAGGCTACTGGGAATAACCATCTCATGGATCAGGCTCCTCCCTGCCCAGGAGCGGTGGTGCCCAGGAGCGGTGTAGGCATCACATACCCAACATAACACGATTCCATCTCCACAACCGTCTCTGAGATGCGAGGTGTTGTGATCCCAATCACACACGAGGAAATGGACACGGAAAAGGAAAGTGACCTGCTCAGGGTCACTCAGGGCCTAAGGGGAGGAGCTGGGATGTCACACTCAAGTCTGGTTCGTTCCAAAGGTCCAGCTCTTAATCGCTGTGCTGTGGTGCCTCAGATGGGCTCCCAAAGCAGCGGGGAGCCAAGCTACACTCCCTCCTGGAGTTCGACCGCCATGGAAAGAGGCAGATGAAGACAGAATGGGGGCTCGTCGGCAGGGCCGGTGGCTGAAGCCGGCTGGGGTGTAGTTGAAAGGAGGGAGTCCTTCCCGGGAACTGTGGCTGGCAGGGCAGCTTGCTGGGAAGAAGAGGCCTGGGGAGGTAGAAATCCACACCCACAGGGCTCCAGAGGGCCCCAGGGTGATGGGAAAACACTCTCTGGGGCCTCATGGACATGCTGTGTACTTGTTCATGGTCAAATCTGGCCTTTGAAACTCCTGACACACTCCCTTCTGATCATCACTGGGAAGGGCTTAGGAAG